GGGGACTCACTCAGCCCAGCACCGAATGTCACCTGTTCTCTATCCCTGAGACTTGGCTGAGAGGCCTGAGCTCCAGCTTGGGCCTGACTGGCTGTGTGGCCCTGGGCAAGTCACTTATGCTCTCTGGGCTTCAGTCTCTCTATCTGTACAATGATCTCCCTGGAGTCTGCCTTCTGGCAGTGCATTCCTTGGTGATGACTGCCCCTCCCTCTGGGTGGCCCCATGGGTCTCCAACAGTCTCAGCCTGTCCGCAGACAGAGGCTCCCATGAGATCAGGGAACAGGGCTGAGTGGAGCCCAAGCCACCCAGAGGAGGGATGATGTAGGCTTGGGTGATGCTGAAACCTGTCACTCTAGCCCAACAGCTTGGAAGGGCTGGCACAGCTGTGCTTCATGCCTCAGGGACAATAGCTGTGGATTGTCCCCAGCCACGCCTTTCCAGCCTCAGACATCCCATCTACAGAATGGGCAGAAGGCGGCTGTAAGTCCCTCCAGCAGCAGAGGGAGAGGAGAGTGGGAAACATCAGTCAGCCAGAAAGTCACCCACCTCTTTGCCCCGAGCCATGTGAGCCTAGGGAGGAATCTGAATGCTGCGTGAGAAGTGGCCAAGTCACATCTCTGTCCAGCTGTGGGGACTGTGTGGAAAATCCAGGAAAATTGAGGGTAAGGCCCTCAGAAGCCACTGGCTCAGTGGTGGGGTCGGGGATAATGGCTCTCAGAGAAGTTTGGTCTCTCATGGGGCGGTGGGCAGAAGGGTTCCCAAATTTTTGTCACACACCTGGTGGGAGCCAATCCCTCTCCCCAAGATTCTAAGGGCTCCTAGGCCCAGCCCTGCCACCAGTTGCCCTGCCCAGCTGGGCAAAAGCCTCAGCCTTGGTTTCCCATTTGTGAAATCTCTGTGCCTGTGGTAGGGGCGGCTGAAGACAAAGGACAAGGAGGAAAGCTTCAGGGTAACAGCATGTGGTGCAGTAAGATCACCCAGCCGTCAGCCCATACACCTGCAAAGGGAGTGCTCACCTGAGCCCTCACCAGCCTCTGGCTCACCCCCCCCAACTCTCTGCCCGGGACCCCACTGGGAGTGCCAGCATCATGTGGCCCGGGTCATAGCATTTCCCTCCACGTGGGCTCTGGACCTGCAGGCTTCAAAGGGAACCTCACCCCCTGTGGGAGTTATGAAAACAGTGTAGCAGGGGAGAGGTGACGGGGCACCAGCTGAACAAACAGCAGCCCCCTGGGACCAGGCCTGGCCTCTCCCGGTGTCCAAGCCCAACATCTGGGCTTTCTTCCCCTGGCTGCATGACAGCACATAGAAAGGATATTTGTGTGTCAGCAGCGTAGAAGAGGGTTGCTGCTGTGTGCATGTACGCACACACGTGTGCACCTTGGCACATGCCATGAGGTGTGTATTTCCATGTGGGGCATGCCTGGTACCCCATGAGCAGGTAAAGAACATAATAGGGCAAGGACTGTCAAACTGTAGCCCAAGGGCCAAACCCACCCACTGCCTACTTTTGCAAAGTTCATGAGGTAAGGGTGTTTTTTACATTTTTAAATGGTTGGACAAAAAATAAAAGCATATTTCATGACCTATGAAAGTTATATGAAATTCAAATTTCAGTGTCCACAACTAGTTTTATTAGAACACAGCCACACTTATTCATTTGCATACTGTCTACAGCTGCTTTTATGCTACAGAGTTGAGCAGTTACAACAGAGACCATAAGGCTCACAAAGGCTAAAATATTTACTATCTAACTTGATTGGAAAGTCTGCCAGCTCCAATGTTAGGGCACTAGCAAAGCTGGGGCATGATGCTACTCCTCCCGCCCAGATTAAAGTTCAGCTTCAATGAATTTATCAAGAATTTTACAATTAGAAAATCTAGATAAATGCTGTGCTCATTTCAGTACATATGTGAGGGCTTAGGATTTTACAATTTTGTCTTGTTTTGTGTGTGCACATATGCATGTGTGTGTGAGCGTGTGAGAGAGAGAGAACAGAGACAGACAGACAGAGAACCATGATCTTTTCAAGATTATGCATCAGTTCTGCATATTCTAGACACACAGTGGTGTTCATTTCTTCAGCATATTCTAGGCACATGGGGTGATTAGTCAAGGTAAGGTTTGCAGGATAATATAATAGTCTTGGTTCTTTCCATCATCCTGCTAGCCTGCTTTCCAAACATCCTGCTAGCAAAGCCATGCTCTTGCTCACTTCACAGAGGTGCAGCTGAAGCCTGGGAGGTGAGGACACCTGTCTGAGGCTCTTCCCTGCACCACTAACAATGAGGAAAAGATGTTCTCTCTTGACACTGTTTTGCTCCTGGCAGAAGTGAGGGAGCACGCGATAACATGTCTGGTGGGGGGCATCTTGCCCCCGCTGCTAGCAGTTTTCTAGGCATCCGAGGTCCCATGCCAGCCCCACAGGTTTCAGGCTTTCCTTCCTTGCCGGGGGGGTCCTGGCAGGCTCCCAGGAGCCAGTGAGGGATGAGTGGTTTTCCCTTTTCCGGCAAACAGGGGGCAGGTGTGGAGTGAGTAGCTCCGGGGAGGAAATGTGGGGAGGATAGTGGCTGAAGCTGAACTTTTGGAGGGCCCAGTGAGGCTGAACCATAAAAGGGGAGCCATTGAGAATAAGAGGAAAGGGGGAGTTTGTGGGAGCCAGGTACCCAAGTGAGGTTGCTGCGAATAGAAAAGGGGCCCCCAAAACAGGGGGTGTCGAAGACAAAGTGGCCAACTTGGCAGCCTTGCTTAGGGCTGTCCCTGTTTTTAAGACCCAAGCCAGGCCCTGGAAAATTTGCACAACCAGCCCTAGCTCGGAACCTGCAGAATGCCCAATATGGAACCAAAGAGAAAACCAGAGTCCTGCTGTTGTCAGACCCCCACCCCCCACCAGATAAGGCTTCAGGATAAACCAGAGAGAACAGGGCAGGGGCTCCCTAGCACTTCTCCTTCCTCCCTGGGACTCAGCTCCTATCTGGAGGAAGGGCATGAGGACTCCATGGTGACCTCTATTTTCAGGATAAAATTCAAAGCCCTTTTCATGGCTGTCCAGGCCCTGCTCCAACCTCATCTTGTACCACCTTCCCCTTATTCACTGCACTCCAAACACAATGGACTTTTCTCTGTTCCTTCCCACCACAGGGCCTTCACACTGGCTGTTCCCTCGGCCTGGAACACTGATTTCCTCACTCATTCTTCAGATTTCTGTTCAAACATCACTTCCACAGATAAGCCTTCCATGACCACCCCTAGACCAGGTTTATTTCATGTTCTCAGACCTGCCACTGATTACCTGAATGCTGATTACCTGTACAATTATGTGTTTCCTTGCTCCCCAACTGCACTGGGACCTCCAGCATAGGTCCTAGAGACTCAGGACCCTGTCTGTCGTGCCCCTTGCAGTACTCTAGAGCTTAGCACAGAGTCTGACATACAGCAGATTAATAAATGATTGTATGATGGCACGAGTGAATGATTGGCACCTACAGGGACTACAGTCAGTGCTTGGAGTTAGGGAAATTGTACAGAAAAGTAACATCAGTAAACTATTTGTTTTGAGTTCACCTATGTTTCCACACTTGATGACCAGTCTGTAGGCACCATGCAATGTTCTAGAGCAGTTTTCCACTAGAACTTTCTGGGATGATGACAATGTTCTCTGGATCTGTGTTGCCCAGTACGACAGCCGTGAGATCCATGTGGCTGTTGAGCACTTGAAATGTGCCTAGTGAGAGTGAGGAGCTGAATTTTACATTTTAATTTTAAATAACACAAATGTAAATAGCCACATGTCGTTAGTGGCTACCAGGTTGGATTGCATAGCTTTAGAGAGAAGGGAAGTGTCCCACTGTCTCCAAGGCTGTCACATGCATTTCTGTCACCCAGGGATTCACAGGAACTCCCCCAGACCTCCATCAGCTGGTCCCCAGGACTGAACATGCCAAAGATTCTTTGGCAGCTTCCATGAGAAGAGACTCGCCATCCCCCACTGCTCACCAAGCTTGTCACAGAGACCACCAGGCAACAATGACTCAGGTTGCTCTCCACAGAGATGGCACATCTCCAGAACGAAGATGCTGAGAGGAGCTCTCACCATTTTTATCACTATCATCACTTATCACACGATCTCCAAGACTGCCACCAACCTCGTTCTCTCCACATTGTCAGCCCATCACGCCACCCCCAAGACAACCAACACAAGCATCACCTCCACCGCCACCAGCTCCAGTCGGTACCACCACTGACGTCACCACCACCATGAGCTCCCTCCTCATCACCACCCTGCCCCCACCATCACCACCACCAACATGCCCCCGCCCCCAGCATTACCACCACCATCAGACCACCTCAACACCACCAACTCTTGGAGCCATTTAAGATACCAGTCAAGAGCTTCAGCTCTGGAATTCCATTGCCTGGGCTTAAATCCAGAGTTTTTAAAATCTTAAATCTCAGAGCTTCAAGCGCTGAGTTTACATCACTCAGTTTTTGTGAGACTCAGTTTCTTCATCTGTAAAATTGGACTACCAATAATACAATAATAAGACTTACTGCCTGTCGTTGTTGAGAAAATACAATGAGGAAGAGCGTGGAAAGCCCTTTTACTATGATGGCTGAGTGTTAGTGCTCTTCTAGGTTCTGTGCTCAGTGAGCACAAATTTATTTAATCCTCACGCAGCTGTGAAAGACATTGATCCACCCATTTTACAGATGAGGAAATGGAGAGTTGATGTAACTTGCTGAAGGCCCTACAACTAATAAGAGGCTGGATCGGAACCCAAGCCTTAAATTGGGCTAGGCTAGGCTGGCCCTTCATGGGGTGGGTGAGGGAGTTTGAGTCAGCCCGCTGGCCTTCCTGCAGTTCTGGGCTCCCTCCTCAGGGATGCTGGGGGATTTAGCCATCCCACCACGACAAGTGGTGTTGTGGTAGGGATGGTGGTGGTGTCTGTGTCTCAGCCTGGCCTGGCGGGTGGGGTGCGTGTGTAGTGAGTCCCCTCACCTGTGTCCTGGCGAAATTGGTGCATGGATTGCAGGTCGATGATGTAGGGCACCAGCTGGGCGTCCACCTGCCCCAGGACTACGGAACCGCGTGTATCCTCCTTCAGCACGTTCTCAATGTGGTGACACACGGTGGCCGTGTAGGGCCGCCAGCGGCTGTGCTCATTCAGCCACTCCCACACCACCACCCGGGCCACATTCTGCGGTGGGAAGCCCAACCCATTCACTGGCATCATCCCCCCCTGGCCTGGCCGTGACATGGCCGCTGCTGCCTCCGGGGCCAGGACCCCACTATTATGGGCCCAGCTCTTCTGGGCCTGGGATCAGGCAGGGAACGTCCTCTCTCCCCAGTGCAGCAGCAAGAACTGCCCAGCCTTTCTACCTCCTGACACCAAGAGGCCTCAGTTAAAAGGAATGTGGGGTGGTGTTCAGGCTCCAAGGACCCCTTGCCTGCAGTGCTGTCTCCGTTAAAGGGGGCTGCTCTGGACAGCAAATGCCTTTCTTACGATGGGTAATTGTTATAAATTCCTTGGCTCCCTGGGCTCAGGTAAGGAAGTAGGCAGCGCCCCTACTCTAGGTCATGCTGGTCTCTGTTCTCTGTCCTCTTTCTGGCAGCACAGGGCCTGTCACCCAGGAGGTAAAAGCCCAGCCTGCGCTCTCTGCGGCGCCCGGCCAGCCCTGTGAGCTCTTAACTGCGTCCCAGACCCTGTGCCTGCTTCCAGTGGGGTTGCTTGGCTTGTCTCGGGCCCGCCCCCCGGACGGCTCCTGCTGAAGGGGCGTCCCTGTCCCCCTTGTTCCTGCTCCACACCGTGTCCTGTAGGGCCTCTGTGGCTGAAGACCGAACCGGCGAGGGTGCAGCGCGTGCCCTGGCCAGCCCACCCTGCAGCAGCTCAGGAGCTGGGCGGGCGCCGAGGGGGGCGGGGGCCCGTGGGCACACCCCACCCCACTCGTGCTCGCGACCTGCCGGAGACAAGAAGGGGAGAGGGCCCTTTAAGAGGAGAGTGCAGCACCCCCTCCCCCTTCCCAAGAGAGCGATCGGCTGAGAACAATGGGGAACCGATGGGGGTGGGCAGCAAAGGGGGTAAAAGGGGTCGCCGCCCGCGTTCCCATGGGGCAGGCCCTAGAGGAGGGCTGGGGCTGGGGTCGCGATTTCCCGAGACCCCTCTCCTGCCGTGCACCCTCCTCACTCCCCGAGCGCTCCCCTTTCCCGGGGGCCGAGCCCAGCTGGGGGATGCAGGGTGCGCGGGGACGCGCGGGGATGCTCGAGGATGCGCTGCGCTGCAGGCGAGGCCCAGGGGCCCTCGGGGGGCTAGTCACCGAGGACGCGACGCCGGGGGCTGGATGGTCGCTGCCTCCTGCCCTGAGGGTGACAGCCCACCTTCCCCAGCCCAGACCTCCCCAAAGCGTGCGCTGCCGCCCTCAGGAGCCGGGGGTGGGGTCCCTAAGCGCCCCGCTCACTCACCGCCTCTCCTCTGGTCTGCCTTCTTCGGCTCGCGCTTTAGCACCGCCGCCTCCGGGGCTCCCCCCGGAGTGGGAGGGAGCCGCGGTCCCGCCTCCGCGCCCTTTTCCTCCCCGGCCCTGAGGCCGCCGCGCCGGGGCGCTGGGTGCTCCGCGCGCGGACAGACGACCCCGCCGACCGACGGACGCGTGAGCGGCTGGCGGACGCCGGGATCCCGCGGGTGGGAGGCGGCTGTGGCCGCGCTCAGGGGAGGGAAGAGGGAGGGGGCGGAGAAAGAGGAAGGGGCGGAGACAGATCGTGGCCCTGGGTGCCCGCCGCGCTGACACGCGAGTCCCGGGGCGCCCCAAATCCTCAGCTAGGCCCACCTGGAATCCCAGGAGGCGTCCCGACCCCACGCAGGGCTCAAGGCATGGAGTAGGATGTACGCGTCGCCTGCTTGAATCCTAGTCATCTTCACATTCGTGGCTCTGTCCAGGGCCTGGCACACAATAGGTGCTCAAAAAAAATGCTCGAATGAATAAGATCCAGAGATTTTCTAATGAAAGATCTTAGAGCATTCTAGGGCAGCATTTTTGTCTCCTTCCACACTATTCTGGGAGATGGTGTTTGGAGGGCTGGCAAGGCCCATTTCAGAGTCTAATGCAATCATGGAATTGGAAGTATACAAATGGAAGACTGAGGCCCAGAGAGGGTAATAAACAAGCCCAGGATCACATAGCAGCTTACAGCAGTGCCCAGACACCAACTTAGAGCTGATTCTCCTCCCAGTACCCAGTTAGGCAGCCCAAAGCCCACTTCCCCAGAGCACCCACCTGCTCCAGGCGGGTGGGATAGGAAGAGCATCCTGTCTCCCAGGTGGTAGGCAGACCTAGGCCAGAAGGCAGAGACCTCTGAGGAAGGTAAGGACAGCCCCTCCACCACCTCATTCTCAGATGCCTGTGAACAACAGGTGCTCAATAAATGCTGAGTGAGGATTGGCTGGATGGAAAGGGAAGTAGTTGATGGCAGCAGCTCAAGTATTAATGAGATGGCCAGCTCTCCTTCCTCCAGCAAGCAGAGGACACACATCAGCTGAGAGGGTGATAGACTCCCCACGGTCTGTGGGTGTTTGCATTAGGGAAGATGAAGGAAGGATTCATCCGGGAACTCCAGCCTGGGCTCCAGATAGGGGTCAGCGGCCTGTTTGGGAACCTGCCCAGGGCAGCCCACGCTCCTCTTCCTCCCAAGGCAGATGGTGATAAACTAGGCGAGGTCAGGGTTGGGCTGCTTAGGGATGCTTTTCCAGAACTGCTGCCAGATAGAGTGACCTCCCCTCTGCAGACCCTTGTTCTGTCCTGCAGCCCAGTGCCTGATGGGCTTTTCCAGATTGGGGCACTGATTCTGCTTGCTTGAGCCTGCTGCAGTCTAAACAGAGAGGCTGTGTCTTAGGGCATAATGATAATGCTCCAACAGGATAACCGAGCTCTGGGATTTTAGCCTAGGGCCCCCGATGGCTTCCCAGGAGTCCATGAAGACCCCTGCCCCTTTACAGACAAACTTATGTGTCTGTATTTTGGGGGGAAGAAGGGCTCTGGCTTTCAGAGGTTCTTCCAAAGGAGGCTGTGACCCAAAAGATTCAGAGCTGATGTTCAACAACCTTATATTACAGGTTGTTGCAACCTTATATTATCTGGAGGCCCCACAGTGGGGAAGAGACTAGCTCAAGGTCACAAGGAAACTTAACAGCAAGTTGGAAAGAAGACCCAAGACTCCAGACTGTATAATGCTATTTAAGGCCTGATTAAATGTCACCGCCTCCAGGAAGCCTCCCTGAACTCATCCCATCCTCTTCTGTGTTCTATTGCCCATACCTTGGTATGACACCCTGTATCACAGTTAACCAATTCAGTGTTGTTCCTGCTAGAGTAGACCTGCATGAGATCAAGGACTGTCTTATCTTGTGTGGTGTGGCTGGTTATCACTTGCTGAGTGCCTATTATGTAATTCTCACTACTTACATAATTCTCACTACTCTTCACAATTGCCCACAAGGTAGGTAATATTTTCCTCATTTTACAGATGGGAAAATCTCCTCAAGCTCAAATGGGTTAAGTGACTTTTCCAAGTTCCCACAGGGAGTAAGTGGCAGGGCTGGGATTTGAATCCCAAACCCCTTTGCACCTCCCACAGCACCGTGGTATGCTGCCTCTGTGTTGGTTCAGCAACTAGTGAATGGAATCCAGGATCTGGTCCAACATGGCCCTCCTGGTCCCTCTCAACTGGGCTGTGTAAATTCTTCAAGTGCAAAGCCCAGATCCCAGGGCACCCTGGGAGAAAAGGATTCCAAGGAAGGGAAAGGAATTTGGCCTTCAAGGACCGCATGATCCACTGGGGAGATGGATCAGACACTAATGGAGAAGCCAACAGAATAGAAGCAATCAACCACAAACTCTTTTTCAAAAAATTAAAATTTGTTTGTATATACTACATCCCTAGGAACAGAATCCCAGCATTTTCTTTTGTGTACTTTTGTCTTGCTTCCTCATGGCCATGATACTAGCTGAGGTCATCAGTACAGTGAAATCACACTGATGAGTTGGGAGAAGGTAACTGTCACTTTTCTAGATCTTTTGAGTTACACATCAAATCTCAGGCCAGTCACACTTATTTAACCTGCCTGTGGGGTTCACAACTATTTTCTCACACTGTGATAACAATGATTTCAAACTTGCTGAAGAAACCATGCTTCATCATCACAATTAGGCACTAGACTTTGGAGCGTGACCTACAGGAACCTGGAGTTTGCCTCTCTTCTAAGCATTGTTGATGCTGAGAACACCAGCCAAGACATTTACATGCATTAGAGTGGCATGCAAAGATGGCAGAAAGAGATGAACTCATTTTTTTTGTTCTCTTATCCATCATCTCCCTATCCACCCATCCATCCATCCATCCATCCATCCACCCATGCATGCATCTATTCATCTATACATCCATCCATGTCCTTATTCATTCACTATACATTCATCCATGCGAGTACTCTTTCCTTGTTTCTTCCCTCCTTCCTTCATCCCATCCAACCATCTTTCCATTTATCTATCTACTCACCTACCTGTCCACCCATCTGTCCAAAAAATACTGGACCCTGCTATGTGCCAGGCACTGGGCCATGTGCTGAGACATAGACATAACTAAAACAGAATTGGTTCCTCTGTTATTCAGAGTATAGAGTGAGAGTGAGCCATGAATCAAAGAACCACACAAAGTGAGATTACAAAATTTTCCAAGAGCCATGAATGAGTTCTTGATATCATGAAGGCCTCCAACAGGGGTCCTGCCAGGTCTCAGGAGCCAGGGAGGGCTTCTTAGAGGAGGTGACATTTCAGCTATATCCATAGCTTTGATGTGGCTAAGCAGGGTGGGAGGAGGAACAAAGGGAACACAGATATGCAAAGGCCCAGAGGTGGGAAAGAGCCTAGTGTTGCAATTTTTTTAGAACAAAAGGGTTGAGTGTGGGGCAAGTGGGCAGGCCCATCATGTAGGATCTTGAGAACCCCAACATGGGTTTGGGATTTTTATCCCAAGAGCCATGGGGAGTAACTGAAGGTGAAGCCCCACCGTCAGAAACTCTGAGTTGTTAGTTGGTATGCAGACCCAAGCATCGGTAGTTTTGGGCCAATAGTCCTGTCCCTGGACTGGGGGGATTGAAACCAATTGTTAATATTTTGCCACATTTGCACTCTCTCAATTTTCCTCTCTCTCTCTTCCACCTCACCATTTGACAGTAGGTTGCAAACATAAATTGTCACCCCTAAAACTTTAGCATATGTCTCCTAAGAACAGGGCATTCTTTTGTGCAACCACTATGCAGCTATCAAATCCAAAAACTGAACACCGATACACTATTATCTAATATATAAATTTATATAAACTACATTTGCTTATTATTATATAAACCATATTAAAATTTCACCCATTGTCTCAATAATATCTCTGTAACATTTTTTTCTGACCCAGGATCCAATTCAGTATCGTTCATCAGTGATGTTTCTTTCTAACTTTATAGGCCCGCCAGTTATTCATGCTGAGTACGTTTCCTTAGGAGCACGTGTTACAAATGCAATTCAGTTTACCTGTGCAATTATTTTATTAATTTCTGTAAGTTCCTTAAGAGCTTGGATCTTGCCAGTTGCTTCACCACTGTGTTCCCAGCCCCCTGCACACAATAGGTGCTTAATAAAGATCTATGGAATGAAATGAGTGAAGGAAAGCAAAGCTGGCACTTTCTTGTGTGCGGGGGGACTTTCCACGATTCTCTCTAGATTTGTCCAAAAATCTTCATATTCCAAACCTTCCACTCCAGCACTTGCGTTGCACACAATAGGCGCTCCAGCATGGTGAGCACGCTCCTGCCACGCCCGCCGGCCGTGCGCCCCAGGGTAAAAAATACCACCGCACGCCGCGAGGGGGCGGCAGCACTCCGCTCAAACTCCACTAGCTCCTGAGCCAGCGCCTACAGCTCCAGAACTCAACGGGTGAGCCTTTACCGGGCGCCTCCCGAGTTCCCCCAGCTGCACTAGGCTTTCGGGGACACAGATGCAGTGACAGGTCGGTGTCCATGGCGGGGGATTCCGGCCGGAGTCTAGGGGTCGCTCCGGCATCGCGGGCTAAGACCATGAGCTTGCTCTGAGTCGGGCGCTGCGGGGTTCGGCGCTCTCGGTTCGGGAGCACTTCCGGGAGAAGTGTCCCGGCAGAACTCGCGACCTCTGACCCGCCAGACTTCCCCCGGGTACCTCAGCCAGCCGCCGAGGGCGAGTGCCCCTGGCCGCGCTCGGCCTCGGGCGCCTCCGCGCAGGCGCCACGGCCGCGGTTCCCATGGCGACGCTGGGGCACGTCCCTACCCGAGGCCCCGCCCCCAGCAGGCTAGGCTGCGCGGGGCGGCGAGCGGCGTGGGCGGGTGGTGGCGCGGGCTGGCTGCGGCGGCTTCACGGTAGGTTGTGCGGCGGGCGCGAGGGTGAGGGCCGGCCGTCTGCCTTCGGTCTCAGACTAGGGAGGGGGCTGGGGGCGGTGGCGGGCCATGGTCGCCAAATTTCTGCTCGTCTGAGGGAGAAAAGTTGGCAAAGTTGACTGGGGAAGAGGTGGGGACCCAGCGGACCTCCCCGGGCTCTGGGTCTGCGGGGAGAAGGGAATGCCGCCTTGGGAGCTGGAGGAATCATCTTCCGAGACTTGGGAGTGGATCCCGCGGGAAGATCCGGCACAGGGCAGCCAATAGATCCCTCGCCGCCCAGAGGAACATTTGGGAGTCGATCTCGGGAGTGGGTCGGGCTCTAGTGGCCTCCGGTCCCACCCGATCCCCAACCTGGGGGTGACGGTGGACCGTGATTGGAGACTGGGAGCTGGTTGACCCCTCTGCCCCCACGCTGGTCCGAGCTTTGGGAGCAGATTCCAAGGGGAGATCTGGTGGCCTGAGCTGGGGGATCGCTGGAGATCCGGTGTATCCAGACTGGAGCTGCTAGGATCTGTACATCCGTGCGGGTGGAGGCCCTCCCCGGAGGTGGGCATTGGGGAGCGGGCTTGCACAGCGAGGCGGAGCCCGGGACGAAGGGATCCTGTGGGCAGCGGGGGCGGTGGAGAGAGCGGCTCGCCGGGCCCTTGGCGTGCACCCTCCCCGCCCTTGGCGTGCACCCTCCCCGGCGGGCCTCGCTCCCTTCTGCGCGCCTTCTCAGAGCGGAGACACCCTGATGGGATTAAGGATCAGTGTCCCTGCTCCCAGGCCAGCTCGAGGGTCCCCCACCCCGTTGGCGGCGTCGCCTGGGGCTACAGCGGGGCCACCGGGAAGAGAAGCGGTCCGCTGAACCCCAAGCCCCACCTTTACACATCCTCTGGCTCACACTAACCACAGAGCCGGGGCACCGCGTCC